CTTCCTTCCCGAGACTGGATTTCCCTCGACGAGTCCGCAGTCGGGACAACCAGAACCCATGCAGGTGGGCCGGACCAGCTTCACACCGGAGGAATGGGAATGTCGCCATCAGGGGAACCTCTGCCTCTACTGCGGCCAGGCCAGCCATTGTCTCCCGGTGCCCGGCAAGGGTTCCATCACCCACGCCATGTTCATAGACTGGATAGTAAGGCGGCTGTGCATTGGTGTTTGAATGTGTATGAATGCGTTAGTTTCCGTTCGATGGACTTTGCCATCACTGAGTGATCTACGGCCACCCCGGGGTTCATCTTGGGTTGGGGTCTATCTTGGGTTGGAGTCCCTCCTGCCACCAAGTGTGCCTCAAACAGGCATCCGTTCCCCAGACGACCATCTGCTTCAGTCCAGCCCCTGATCTGACAGGGGTCCCGGCCGAGTACCATGACTTCAGGGAGGTCTTCAGTAACCTGGCCTGCTCCTGACTCCCCGCAACAGCTCCAACTTTTCTCGGGCTTGCCGACTTCTATCGGAGGTTTATCCGGGGCTACAGCACTAAGGCCGCATCTCTCACAACTCTAACCTCCTCCAAGGTTCCCTTCCGTTGGTCCTCTGCTGCAGAAGTGGCCTCAGTCCCTCAAGACCCGGTTTACGTCAGCCCCTATCCTCCAAATGCACGACCCTGAGAGAAAATTCGTGGTGAAAATGGACGCCTCCGACATAGGGGTAGGAGCTGTTCTCTCCCAAAGAGCGGAGGAGGATCAAAAGCTTTGGCAACCGAGAACTCTTGGCCATCAAGCTGGCCCTGGAGGAATGGCGCCACTGGCTAGAGGTACCAAGCAACCGTTCTTGGTTTGGATAGACCACAAGAACCTTGAGTACATCCAATCAGCAAAAAGGTTGAACTCCTGACAAGCTTGCTGGTCCCTGTTCCTCACCCGGTTCAATCTCTCTCCTACCGGTCCTGTTCTCGCACACGTCAAACCCGACGCTCTGTCCCGTCAGTTTGTGGAGAGGGGGATTCTGTCCCCAATTCCAACATCATCCTTCCGTCTTCATGCTTGGTCGCCCCCCTCACCTGGTAAAGTAGAGGAGAGAGTTAAGGCGGCTTTGGAGAAACAGCCTGGACCCAGCTTACGCCCTCCTGACAGTCTGTTCGTCCCCTCTACCCTCCGGTCTGATGTCCTGCAGTGGGCTCACAGCTCCCGACTCAGCTGTCACCCAGGGGGCCAGCGCACCAAGAAGGTGGTTCAGCAAAAATTTTGGTAGGCAACCCTAGATGAAGACACGTGGGGGCCTGTCCAGTCTGTAGCCAGCACAAACCTTCCCATCAGGCTCGGTCACACGGCCACACTACCATCCTGACCATGGTAGACCGGTTCAGCAAAATAGCCCACTTCATTCCTCTGCCCAAGCTCTCCTCGGCTAAAGAAACAGCTGAACTAGTGCTGCTCCACGTCTTCCGGCTGCACGGCCTCCTTATCGAAGTGGTCTCGGACCGGGGACCCCAGTTCACCTCGATATTTTGGAGGGAATTCTGTCCACTGATCGGGGCCAGCGTCAGCCTGTCGTCCGGGTTCCATCCCCAGTCCATGGTCAGACCAAGAGGAAGAATCAGGAGATGGAGACTGCACTACAATGCATGGTATCTAAGCACCCATTGTCCTGGTCTCAGCAACACCCTGACCAGCTCCGCCATGGGACTCTCCCCCTTTTGGTGTGCATATGGGTTCCAGCCCCCTCTGTTTCCCGCCCTTGAAAAGGAGGTTTCCTGCCCGTCAGTCCAGACCTTCATCCATTGCTGTCGCAGGACCTGAATGCAAGCCAGAGCCTCCCTCCTACGCTCCACTGACCGTTACTCTGCCACTGCCAACTGCCACCTACCAGGTGGGCCAGAAAGTATGGGTGTCCACACGGGACCTCCCTCTACAGATGGAATCCAAGAAGCTGGCACCCAGGTTCATCGGCCCCTTCAAAGTGGAGAGGGTTATCAACCCTGTGGCGGTGAGGCTAAAGTTGCTCCGGTCCATGCAGATCCACCCCACGTTCCACGTCTCCAGGGTCAAACTGGCCCCTGAGAGTCCGCTGGTCCCCGCTGCTCCGCCTCCTCCTCCACCCCGGCTGGTCGATGGGGGTCCTGTCTACTCCATCCACCATCTCATCAGGTCCTGAGGAGAGGTCCTGGGCTCCTGTTCAACTGCGCCATCTAAGTACTTTTCCACTAACCTGCCCC